TTAGGGACAGAGTGACCCTCAGATACTTAATAATCTACATGACACTCGGTCATGTCTGACCATAAAATTAAACTTTTTGGCATATCTCTTGAATATGAAGCTGGATAAAATTAAAAACATGACAACCTTTAAACTTATTGATTCTTTTGAGTTTATTTGAAACATGCTGTTTCTGCAATGTACCACATTTTACCAACAAGCTTTCATTCTCAACCAATACCTGTGTGAACCGGACCACATAACAAGCAGATTGTGAAAAAAAAAAAAAAATCCCATCACATCACATCATGACTTAACTACGGTGTCAGCCACTTTATAACTCAGGGTATGGGAGTGCTTTCACGCCGCTCTCTAATATTACATGCTGAATTATAGGTCAAGATTTAAGGTCACAACATCAAGCTGACATGTACAACTGGAAACGGGATTGGAAAATGATTTGAGGTGTGTTTCGCCGTGCAGTTGGCTGAGTGGAAAGTTTGATTTGTGAGGGAGTACAATGATAGAAAAAAGTGGAACTAAGATCAGTCAAACACTCCTTTGCAGATGTTCACAAAGAAAAGAGAGGGACATTCTTTGCTAATATGGGTTATTTTCTTTGCAGATTACTTTTTATCAACAGCAGTACCTTCGCAGTATTCCACAGAAAGCATGGCAATGGATGCACTGCAAATTGTTTATATTTGAAGCAAAATCACAACATGTGGTAAACATGTCAAGAGAGAAAAGGGAACCTTTTTGAATAATGTGCTTTCCATGTTTCTCTCAGGCAGTCTGAGAATAGTAAATACAAGATTCACGTTCTCTTAAACTTAAAATAACCCCAAAGAGGGAACCAACCACATGGCATTTGGTGTGCTCCACTTTCCGCTAGAATGGCTACATTTGATGTTAGTTTCTTCTACACTGCTCTACTAAATATTGGACTGCTTGTCTGTCTCCTTCTGCTTCTCCACACCCACCTCTGTTCTTTTATTATTCCTCAGGGAAGCATCCTTTCTTCTTCATCTTCCCTTGCAATGCTCCACCTTTGAGCCACAAAAGCGCTATCATGAGTTTGGAGAAAATCAATGACAGTATTTCCTAAGGAGAAGTGTGGAAATAAAAACCTTTAGCATGGTGTTCCTGGGGTCCAGAGGGAATCAATTATTCATTGCACAGGCCAGCAGTCACAGACCTCCTGCTGAAAAGTGGTGCTAGTAGCTGCAGCGAAATCATAGACAAGACTGTCTCCTGGACAAATGATCAGATTCAGATACATGAGATAATCTATGACAGAATGTCTCACCAGCAACTGGCACCTCTATAATGCTCAAATTAACATATATTAATCTTTCACTTGTACAAAAACCTAAATGTAAAAAACAAGTTGAGGTTGCCAGATTATATTTTGGATGGGAGCAGTGACTGTTAAACCACAATTTATATAACTGTGTAATTTTGAGCTGTAGTGGTGCCGATTGGCAGATTTAGTTACCTTTGACAGAGCCAGGCTAGCTGTTTCCTTCTGTTTCCAGTTTCTATGCTAAGCTAACCTGCTGCTGCTTCATACTGACCGTACAGACTTAAGGGTGGTATCAATGTTCTCAGCTAACTCTCGGCAAGAAAGGGAATCACTCTACTTAGTTATGATGGCACTTCGACATGTGCAAAAATAAGGAATATCATGCCAAGTGTGAAGCTCACACTGACGAATAACACCATTTTTGTTACTGCTGTCTCAAGAAAAGGCCCTCGGGACATGCTACTTCACAAGTACTCCAACAAAGGGTCTGTCTGGTGTTTCGTTATGGGTCTGTTTGTGCTGTATCGAGCCTGTCACTCAGACAAAGATCTTGTGTGGCGACACAGCAGTGGTGACTCATTTTTGTCAGACTGTTTGGCGGAGGAGTTGACAGAAAAATGGCAACCTTGGGAAGTATGCGTGCGTGTGTGTGTGTGTATACAGTGTGTGTGTGCATAAGACTGAAGAACACGATGCATTGGAGAAAGGTTTGCTCCACAGCATGTGTTGACTTAATGTGAGTGAGTGTGTGTCCATGCACGTCTGTTGACCTCCTCATGTCTGCTTCAGTGTCTGTGCTGTCCACCTACCCACTGTGCGCGCACAAAAACAGCAGACCTAATTGGCTTTTCGCAGTGCCACTGGGATGACTCACTCTGTGGCCCGATGTGAAGCTGTGCTGTTATTGACACCAGTCAAGCCTAATTTATTGATGAATCACTTACCTACAAAAAAATATATAAAAAGTATATGAACACTCAGCTAGTACGTCATATGTTTTAAAAAACATATGAATTTGTGCTGCAGTGACTAATGAGGAATCAGCTCCTCAGGTGTCCACACAGCGTGTACCAACTAATGAAAATGCTAAAAATATCAACAAACCCTTGTGTCCTCAAATGCCTTAACACAAGATTCTGTACATGCAGTGTTGGAATGTAACTTAGAGCATTTACTCAGTTACTGTGCTTGATTACTGTAAATTATTCTAAAGTACTTGATTTCCAGTTTATGCCAATTAATACTTCTCCATTACATTTCAGAGGGAAATACTATACTCTTATTCTATTCCACTATTTGATGATGGTGTTTTACATACAAATAAGTAAACTACCTAACGATATATAAAGTAGTTAGCTCTCCCTTGATCCACCACAACGTTAAAATGTAGTTTGCATGTTAATGCGTTAGCAATAAAAACACAATGCTGGAATATGCACTCAGTGGCCCCTTTCACTCAATTCACAAACATGAGGGGGAGGAATATTAGAAACACATTTCAGTATAATGAACTCCAGTCTGGCTGAATATTATTATCTTTGTAAAGGTAGAATGTATGGCTGAGCTGTATTGGATTGCTTTAGATTTTACACTAAGTGTAATATATACTGACACTGACTGGAGCCATTCTGCTCAATAATGAATAGTTTTACTTTATACTCTATGTTTTCTGGTAATACTTCTATAGTTGTACTTAAGGTTTTGAATGCAGGGAATAGTAATGGAGTATATTTCCACTGTGGTAATTCTATTTTCACTTAAGTAAAGGATCTGAGGTGATTACAAATGATCAATTTCTTTTACAACCGTCACAACTATAATATAATTGTTATGAAAGAAATATGTCCTTGATGTCAAGACAAAACTGGAAACACAGTTCTCAAGGCTCACTTCCCAAACAGTTCTGGTAAATTCAAATCAGCCTTATCTGTAATGGATGGACCCAACTCTTCCTGTTTGGCAGACATTTGTGCAGCTTTAATGCTTGAAAGTGGTCAGGGTAAAGAGATGGATATTAGTGATGGGGAAAGTGCTGCAGGGGAGAGAATGCTTGGCATCGGCTCACAGTGAGGGTGGGTGAAGGAGAGAGTGAAGCACCATGCTGGCTGGATCACGGCCGTCACCTGCTGTGCGCTAGAAAGACACACTGAGAGGATAAAGATCTGCAGTGAGTTAGCTTGCTCTCTAATGACCCTGCAGTGTAGAAAATGAAAACACATTAGCAAAGAGAGACCGTCATGATTGTGTGTCTGCAAGAAAGTCTGTGTGTTTTCTGTACAGTCAAAATGGAGGAGAGCCTGTGTGAAACAGAAACACCATTTGTCATCATAATTAACAGGCTGCAACACAAATCAAAGTCTCCATCCTCATGCCTCAAATGTGCACGTGGAGAAGGAGGATTTTCCTCATCTCTAATGCAGCGTGAACTTGGCTGTGAAAAAGCAGAGAGACGAAAATAGACCTTCTCATAAAGTATTCAGATACATTGTGAGGATATTTATAGCTCTCCCATGACTCCAGAATTAGGGTTATTTGGTGTTTATTTTATAATTATTGCTTTAATTTTGCCTCTATAAAGAAGCTGTGTCTGCTAAAACCTATGAAATAGCGTTACTGTAACTGGCTAATTTAGATAAAAAAATCAGTCTCATTAAGGGGGGGGGTGCACTGATGGAGCCGAGGTAATCACATGCAAGATTATGAGTAGGCATGTGCAGCGATGTGTGTAGTGGTGCTCCCCTCTGCTTTGAAATGTATGTCACGAGAGTTGATACATATTTTATTGGATGGACGTGCATCTCACTAACAGCATGGGGGTTGCTCTGAATAAAGAAGCTGTACTGTATCCTACCAGGAAGCTTTTTTTTTTATCCAAAGGCATACCCCACAATAACTTTCATATAAGCAGAACCTGTGTTTATTTAAGCCTAAAGGTAAAATTCAAACTATAAATTTCCAGGAAGATAAGAAAATAAATGCTTTTCTCATAAAAATGCCCATAAACAGGGAATTTAGAAAGAATGCAAGTAGATTAAGTTCTTGTGGCTACATAATGAAGCACAGAGGGAGATCAATGGGAATAATGATGTAGTAAATGCTGAGCATTGTGACTTCTTAATGTTTTCCAGACACTAGACAAGTGTGGGGATGAAGAAAAGCTGTGGGACTAAAGAAAAAGGCTGACACTTAAGAAAAGAGAGATAAAGGTCTCTCTGGTGCAACGGAAAGTCGATTTCTGTAGATTTAGTCAGTGTGAACTGTAAAAACATGCAAATTGGGTACAAACGCTAAGAGGAAAAACAGCTCATGTGAAGAGCCATTGAATAATTTGAACAGATGTCATGCTAGATGTTTATGCATATAGTTACTTCACTGTATGTCCACAGGAGGTGTGGTTTTATACAGTTTATTGACATTATAGTGGTTGATTTTTGTATGCGCATAATAAAACAGTGACTGTGTATTGCAGAATACAGTAATGTGTTTTTGCTACAAAATGTTATGCTTATTTTTTCCTACTTTCCTCTAATTTGACATCATTAGATCTTAAATACAGCAAAAAAAAAAAAAAAACTGTTCTGGATATCTAGGGTTGGGCTGTGTATGGCTGAAAGTATGTGTACATCATAATATAAATGTATGCAAAATGATAAAATAATCAAAATAATGCTTATTTTGTTTGTTTTTAAGTAAAGGTTATTGGAATAATTACTAAAGACAACAGCATATTTTGTAACACGATAACATGATGTGATCATATTATCGTCATATAATTCCACTGCAAGATCTAATGATATTGAGCTGATAGAATAATTTAACTTCATCCATGTTATTAAAGCTTTATGACATGGGTCTAGGATTAATTCACTTCTCTCCATATAACTTATATTCCCCTCCCCTCTTTTCAGGACCTTCCCAGGGCTCTTTTTTCCCCCTTCCTCATAGTCTTTTCTCTTTTATCAGGTAGCGTGACCTTCCAGTTTGATCTACAGATAGTCACACACCATCCATCTTCAGTTACCTCACATGTGTTATGCAATCAGCGGCAGGGGTCACACACGAACACACATAACACCTGTACACAGAAACACAAACATTGGCAGGAGGTGGGTTAACGTGCTCATTCTCTTCAAGCCATCAGGACACGTGTGTTTGTTGTGTTGCCGTCAGCCAAGCTGGCACGCAATCATGACCCTGAATACCTCTGTTTATGAGAATTATGAGAATTATAATTCAAACGTTTTGCTCTTTTTTTTTTAGCATGCCATAGATGCTGTGAATGCAGGAGTGAGTCCTATTGGAGACACATCCAACAATTCCAGTTACTGGGACCTGGGCAGTGCCTTCTTCTTCGCTGGAACTGTCATCACAACCATCGGTAAACTTTCATCCATCTCATCATCCATTCGTTAATACTGTATACTTACTAATACCATTTTAATCTCCTATTGCTGACAGTCAATAAAAATGCCATTTATATGTGCTGCAGGGAAATATAAATGTTGTAATAAATTGGATAATGTTACATTAAATCTAAAGTCTTCCCATACACTAGCAGATATGAGAGCGTTTATAAGGTATTATCATGGAGATATGCCTGAATAATAACAAAAATAGTAAAAGTCTTCCCAAATGATCACAAACTACACAAAGCAGAAACTAAGGAATCTTTAATATGAAATAGATTATATGAATACATTCTGTAATATATATAAATTAACCAACGTTTTGTGAAATAATTAAAGAAATAATTAAAAGTCAGTTAATTTTAATGTAATTAGTTTATTTTCATAATAATTATTTGGATATTTGTATTGAATTATAGCGATTTTTATTGCAAAATCATACAAGTTATTATTACTTTACATAATTTATTCATGTAAATTATTATTATGCATTTCATAATACATACATAATATTTACATCATATTGGACGCTTTGTTGTTCAATAGAAACCCACAGAACAGGTATGTGTAGTGATAAAAAAGCAATATTACATTGTCATACAAAATTTCTATCTTTATAGTAACTTTTTAGCCTTTAGTCTTACGTTTTACAATGAGAAAAGTGCTCCACCAAACAACAACATGAACTTATAAATGCAAGAAGAACAGGCAGTAATACATTCATTTTCAAAAGGTGCTTTAGTTGGGATTTGTCCTTTCAGTTTGCCATAGGTGTTTTCTCATTACAAATGTCTGTAAAGCTATTTAAATCCTTCCCTCAGGTGAGTTTTACAAATCCCTGTGCCCTCATGAGGTAGTGCTAAATGATGCAAAGCCAACTGTGGGATTTAACAGCCTGTGAACAACATTATCAAGGATGCTGAGAAAACAGACACTGCTGACATAAACAACGTGGTTTTACTTTATGTCAAAGTCTTTCTACTTGCGTTTTTTTATAAGGCTTTCTTTCTTTTACAAGACAAACTAACAATTTATGATTCAAAATTATTTTTAAATAACAGCAAAATGCCTGAAAGCTTTGCTCAAATGAGACAGTCGCCATTTAGAAGTCATTTCCGACATCAAAGCGTAGGCATTAAAGCATTAACGTTCCAATTCTCTCTTTATTAGCTGGATGTACCTTAATTTAAGTGACTGGAAAAAACACAGTGGCCCTGGCTTTTTGTTATGGTGAAGCCCAGAGATTTAATTAACCATGCCGTTTGCAAATAGGCTGCTGAGCAGTGGCTTTCAGTGGCTTCATTTACTTCACTGACATAATATGTTTTTATGAAATATCGGAACGTCAAGGTTCAAATGACCTAACAGTTACAAATACAAAACAAATTTGTTCTCTAGACATGCTCAGATTAATTTAAATAAAATTAAATATGCAATATTTACAATAAAACTGTGCTGTATGTGAAATAAGAAAGAAGGAAAGTGAAACATGCTACAGACAGGATACATGTCAATGCTAATATTGTAGTGACAAAAATAACAAATATATGCTTTGTCCCCTGTCTCCCTAGCTTCTTCATTGCACCTCTGTCAGTGTAGGGCCATAATTGATGCAATTATCTCTAAGGGGAACCTTATTGTTGTCTGTCTAGGAGCTTATTTACATCAGTCCCCTGCTCCAGGAACTAAGAGGCATTATATAAGGGCTTCAATAGATTATGTTGCATAAAAAAAATCTTGATTGTCTTCTTCTACTTCTCATCTTACTCTTAATACTCCACCTCCTCTGCTTTCTTATGGTTAGGTCTTCCTTCACATTCCCCATGTTTTTGTCCTTAATGTCACGTTCTTCATTAATTTACCCTCTTTTTTCTTTATCTCCTCTTCCTTTTGTTTTCCTTGTTTTGACAGGTTATGGAAACATAGCTCCAAGCACAGAGGGCGGGAAAATCTTTTGCATCCTTTATGCCATATTTGGCATTCCTCTCTTTGGCTTCTTGTTGGCGGGGATTGGAGACCAGCTGGGGACCATCTTTGTGAAAAGCATTTTGAGAGTTGAGAAGATATTTAGGGTGAGTATCATAATGAATTACATTTTCTTTGTTTAAGAATTGTAGTGCTTTTGTATGTGGATGACATAGCATTATTTTAAAAAAGTATTATTCTAACATGTTAGTTAACAACAAGCTAGTTTTAGTTCTTTTTATTCATATTTGCTACTTTTTTACACAATTGGATATTTAACCATATCAGAGACTCATGTATCAGTGCCTTTGGGCCTTTGTTGATCATATCCTTAGATGACTTTTACGAATTGCTTGTATGAGTTCTAATAATTTCTCTCATTTGGTTTCTCAGCAAAAACACAAACAGATTAGCCAGACGAAGATCAGAGTGACGTCCACCATCCTGTTCATCCTGGCTGGCTGCATCGTTTTCGTCACCATCCCTGCTGTCATCTTTAAACACATTGAGGGCTGGACTACACTGGAGGCCATCTACTTTGTTGTGATTACTCTCACCACAGTGGGAATAGGAGACTATGTGGCAGGTAGAACAACTGTTGTTCGTCATGATGTAGGTGAACCATTTTGTCAAACTATCATGGATTATTTTTGACCATGCTGTTATTTTTTTCCTCCCCCTCCAGGTGGAAACAGCAGGATTGACTACATGAAGTGGTACAAGCCTCTGGTGTGGTTCTGGATCTTGGTGGGTTTGGCCTACTTTGCGGCTGTCCTCAGCATGATTGGAGACTGGCTTCGAGTACTGTCTAAAAAGACCAAAGAGGAGGTGGGGTTCATTCAATTACACCACTCAGTATTACATTAGAGAGGTAGAAAATAAAAGGTCACTCAGCTGCTGCCTCCTCTGTGGCTTCTGTCTGCTCTCTTATTTTGCCTATTAATTGCTGCTTAGAGCTTGTCAAAAGGTTCTGTAACAGGCTGCTGTTATTGGAGGTGTTCAATATGTGAAGCTCTTACACGGAAGTCCAGACAGAAGAGTCAATGACTTATCTATCTTCTAGAAAGGAAAAATATATTACATAGGGGCTTGCAGCGATTATCAGTTTTAGCAAAATATTATTCTAGAAGATTATTCATATATCAAAATTGTAATTTTAAAGTCCCTGAAAACTGAAAAACTTGACACTGCAATTATTTCTCTATAGCATTAAATATTCATGGCTAAATGAGAAACAATCAAAGTTATAGTTGAGTTAAAAATATCCTCCATGGAGACTGGGTGGATGTGGTTTGATCACATTTGTATTAAACAGCATGTTACTTTAAAAACGTAATTCTAGTCATTTGTTTTACCTTATTACACCCTCTAGAAAGTAATTTGTTACACTACATGAACTACATTTAACAAGCCAAAACAAATAAACTCACTGGAGTCGCTTGCTCAGAAAACTGTAAATTGTTTCTATCCGCCCATCATGCAGAAAATTGAAGAACTTGTAATGCTTACTAAGAAGCTGATTGATAAATTGGTTTAAGCCCTTTAAGAAACAAAAGTTTCCCATGATGACAATGTCTTGTACCCCATATGCTTTTCTAATCTCTTCTTGATCCTTTTCTTACTGCACAGGTTGGGGAGTTTAAAGCTCATGCAGCCGAATGGAAAGCAAATGTACGAGCGGAGTTCCGTGAAACACGGCGGCGCCTGAGTGTCGAGATCCATGACAAGCTCCAGAGGGCTGCCACCATTCGCAGCATGGAGCGCCGTCAGCTTGGCCTGGAGCAGCGAGCTCACTCCCTGGACATGCTGTCTCCAGAGAAGCGGGCCTTGTTTGCCAGCCTGGATGCTGGCCGATTCAAGACTTCCTCACAGGAGAGCATCGATACCAAGCTCAACAACCTGAGGCTGAAGGGGGCTTGTGAGCCATACGACCATCAGGGGAGTGAGCAAACACAACAGACAGCATCTTCCTCAGAGGAGAATCTTTTCAACCTACGCTTCGGATCCCTCACCAAGCTGGCCAGACGCAACAAGAACCGAGAGCTACGGAGGAACATTACTGAAGATGCGCGGCGGGCAAGTGTAGGCATAAACAATGGCAGTGCCATGCTGGGTGAGGAGAGGACGGAAGAAGAAGAAGAAGATGGGGAGCAAGATGAGGAAAACGGAGAAAAAAAAGAGGGAAACACAAGTCTGACAAACCTGTCACAGTATGCAAGTGAGCGCGCCAAGTTGAATGGGTTCATACCAGTACAGGCCAAAGATGGAGAGAACGACTAGAACGGAAGAGCCCAGAAACAGAGTGAAAGATACAGAGACAGAGACAGAACAAGAGTGCATGGTCCTTTGAGATGTCAAGAAATGTGCCTTTCTGTTTCCTATGCTTTGATTGGAACTGCTCCCAGGAAATTCATTGTGCCATAGCCACGGGAAGAAAATGTGTTGCCAAAAATGAACGAATAGAAGAGACACAGAGGCTGTAGTTAAATACCTCATATCGGATGTTACTGTAGAACGGGCTTCTTGAGAATTTCTACAGGAGCTATCTTTACAGCTTTGTTGGCTTTCAGCCCTGACGACTCTTACGAGACACTTGGGTAACGGCTGTCTGTTAATGCTGAATCTTTTTTTTTTTTTTTTAAACAATGTGGGCAGGACAACCCGAGAGCTAGCTTCATGTCATCCATCTTGAGAAACATTATCGATCTCCGCTTTGTCATCTCATACTGTGGTGGCTATTTTTAGCTCAGCTGCCTGCTGCAAAAGGACTTCCACGTTAATGAATGGAGGGTGGGAGGTAGTGTTTCTGCTGGATCAATAGACAATACGAGCATTTACCTAACCGACATGTACAAATATTCCTACATGGTATGTGACTTTGAAAATGTACCCCTAGGGCATAAACTACTGCATACTAAAAGCTCATAAAAACAAACTATTCACCTTGTGCATAGTAAAACACACAACCACAGCATTATAAAAAAAACTTGAAAGCTTAAAATTATAGCTGTAATAATGTTACCGTTTGTTTTAATACAATGAAATGCACTGCTTTCATTCATATTTGGTGTAAAACCCCATTTATTTGAGTAATATTTGCTACCATTTTCTTAATTGGGGATCAATACTGAGCTGGAATTCACCTGACAGACACCTGTTTAATCACCTTTGGCCATGAGATTGTCAGAAACACTTTTATTTTGTATATGACATTCACTTCATCACAAATGTCTTGTGTCTTGAGTGCTTAAATTACGTTTTTATTAATGAATGTGATGCTGTTGATTTTGTACTCGCCAAGCATGTTTGAATCTGTTTACTCCTTTTTATATCAGCCAAGCACTTGAGTTGAATTTTCCATTGAATTGTAAAATATGAACAAAATGTGTCAGGTTTCTTTCTCTTATTCCTTTTCTGAACGTGTTTTTTCGTAGTTCCTAGAGTTTTACTGACACATGACCGTTTTAAACTTTATTTGCATTTTACAGGCACTGACATTGCTACCCATCGCCTACTTTCAATTTTACAGAATTATTAAATGTATCACAAGTGTGCATTGTATGCATCTCTAAAGCTAAATTACACACACGCTGGTTGCACTTGTAACCTGTTTATCTGATATGAATTTCATTAACCTTTCCATGACCATGACCTGTGATAAGTTGAGCGACTATTTGTTGTGTACAGCCTATTTTATGAACAAATCACATTAAATGTAGTGAGTGCCTTTTTCCAGATAATAAACACGATGAAAGAAATTTAAAAGGTCGGAATTGCTATACTCATAACAGCATTAGCATATTAATTCAATATACATTGGTGGTATCACTTTCTTATACTGGAAAGACCTTGCTTTTCCAAGGGCATCTACAAAATTATATTCCAGAATTAAATCCATCACAGGACTTGTCATAGTAGAAAAAGCACAGGTGTTATAACGTTAGCATTAATAACATTCGTTCAGTTTAAGTGACCAGTTAATCATGTCAGTGTGACGGTGAGCTAGCATGCACAACACCAGGAGCCTAAATGGGATTCAGCCTTCATTCATTTTATTACTCACACGTGTGCTTCTCTCACGCTGACATGTCAAAATGTCTTTCCTGAAAAAAAGGCCTATTGTGGACTATTTTTTATCAAGAGGTTTTATAAAGACCAGTTGCTCATAGGTTTTGAACATACATTCATCACAGTCTTTAGAAGTGTGTGAACATGGTGACATACTTTCCTGTAAAACGTTGACGAATTTTATTTAATTCAGTTTAATTTCACTACACAGACATTTCTATAGTATAGTATAGAACTATATAATGATCTCAAGTTGTCATTTTTTGGTGTATTATTCACAATTTAACCTTAAAAAATCAAGGGAACAAAGACAAAAAAGACACATCGCAATTAACTTAATTTATTCAAACACAATATGTCAACACAGCACCGCTCCTCTGCACACTTGAGTTTGTTTTTGTCCATTGCCTCTTTTCACTCCTCTCAAAATTTTAGCCTAAACGCTTTTTTTTAAATATACATTATCACTGTGAATTTGCCTTGATGCAGCTTTTGGGTAATTAAATGACAGAATTCATTATTATGTAAGTGACTCCCAGCATGTTGCAGGATGCCCAAGGTCTCCATCCGTGCCTGTCTAGCTCGGAGCCACAGTCACGTGTGTCAAAGTGTGTAAGGGACCCAGGAAAAAGACAGCGCCACAAAAGAAATTAATCAGGGAGGCAGGTCAGTAAAGGCGGAGCTATAAACTCCATGTAATATAAAGGGTGTGTGTGTGTGTGTGTGCATTAGTGTGTGTGTTTATAGAGGTTTTTCCTTCAAGGTGGAAGTGACCTCAAACCCTCTCCTTTTTCTCTTTTGTTTTCTTGTCTCTCACTATCTGCCCTATCTCTGTTCCTCCCCCACTCTACTGAATCCTCACTTTTTTTTCTTAATGTTTTCTTCTATTTGTGCATTGTTCATTCGTCTATTTATGCAATCCAAGTCATCGACATGGAAGAGCCTAGTAGAGTGGGTCTTAACTGCACAGCAGGAAACAGAACTCAAGACATGTCCGTCAAGCATCAAGTACTGTGTAAAAATGCTCTTAAAGTTTTTTTTTAAACATAGAAATTACAGTAATATTCACATTTACAACACCTAGATGAAAAATAATTATCATTTCAAGTATCTGCCTCTCATCATGTGTTTTGTAAATGTGTAATGTAATGCAATGCCATACAACTTAACACAGGCTCAGAAAAAACACCCCACTAACACAGTGTTGGTGAAAACTGAAACAGAGGCTTGTTTGGTTTGCACAGGTGTACCCAATTATCTGGTAAATCGGTGTGTGATCCAGCTGCTTTTACTGCATATAATTGCTCTGAGTCAACAGGAAGTCCTTCTTGACCCTCACACCCACCGAGTTATAAATATCTTTTTTTTTTACCATTGTATCATATGGCATGTTTCTGTGGGCTGAAGTGTATATGATGTTGCTTTTTGGGATAGGAGTACACCTTCAGAACCACACATGCTGCAGTGCTAGAAAGGGAAGAAAACATCCAAATAACTTACTAACTAACTAAAAATGACACGAATGTGCATGTGAATCTAAAGACAGTTTAAAGACATTTTATTTTTTTATATATTACATAAACCTTACATTACATAAATGTTACATTTGCAGCCTCAAGTAGGTGGGTGAGTGGATGGGTGGGTGGACACATTATAATTATTGCAGTATTCACTGGGTCATACAAGCAACACAGTGAACGTAACTGTAGAGAAACTATAATTTTACACTCTTGTCGGCTTTAAATTACTCTTCTTGTGTTCACTTCACAGACTGCGATAATCACTAGCCTGCATTTGTACATGTGTGACCATGCCCTCAAACAGGACCCTTATTCTACAACCTGTAGGGGGAGAAAGGCAACTGTGATGGGTGGCCACGCACTTCTGATTGCACCCAAAGGTGTTGTCTGGTCACAGTAAAAGGTGAAAAGGAAGTTTGATCTTATTGTGATTGGTGTAAAGAAATAAAAAAAGGTAGGGCATATTTTCCCAATACCAGAATGATAATGGGTTCAGCCTGAAAAGCTTGAAAGTTACCTCATGATTGCATCTCTCTTACTGGCACCTGCAATTTGAGGTGCAGTTTAAATGTAATTTACACACACATTTAATGTGATGTTTTAACAAGACTGGAGTTTGTATGCAACATAAATTTATTCATTTGATGCTTTTGCATTTTGGTATTTTCAACCATCTGGCCTTCATCTAAATTATGACACTTTGCCAGTGAGAGCAACTGAAAATTCCTGGTCTCTCTCTGATGCCAAGAAGCATTTCTCATTTCTGGCATACTGGCAGTTAAGGAAACATTAACGAGAGTGTGTGTGTAGCTTCACAGTTCTTTCCTCCATTAGAGAGCTGTGCAGTGTACCTAGAGGGATGATGCAGAATGACAAATCCATCAAACAAGAATTGTTTTTTAGAGTGAATGAAGGCTTGTGTGTCTCATCCAGAGAGGATAGCCCAGCATACATGGACACTACTCTTACCATGTTTGCAAATGCTCTTAAATAAAAGCACTCTCAGTGAAGACAGCCACAGCTACAACAGAAAAATTGTTCCTCTTTGAATTGTCTGATGAAGGGCTCAAAATGAATTCACTCCCTGTTGCAAACAGTGAATCCTGCCCACTTTCAGTTCCCTATAAACATGTTTAAAATGGCCATGAATCACCCACGAACAAGGCTTCTGTGGGGGCTAACTCATCCCCTATGTCAGTGCATCTTCAGTCGTGCATGAAGCTTTCATGTAACAGCCAATTCTGCAGCTTTTCTTAGACAGAAATTGGACTTGGGCTCCCTCATGTTAGTATAACTAGGATCTCAAACCATCAGTCTTACAGACTTCCGGCTTGCTGAGCTTTGACCTGCAAAGTAGCGTGAATCACAGAGGCTGTGGGTGGGATTGACCACATGTTTTCTCCAAAAGTCACAATAGAGGAAGTATTGTTGCTATTTTAGGTAGTGCCCAAAACAGCAAAAATCTAAAATGCCTTAAAGGCCGAAAGCACACAAAACTCACTTAGTCACTTAAGTGTGACTAATGTTTACTAGCTAGACCTAGGCAAGTACACTTACCTACATCATGATTTCAGCATAATTATCGTACACAATTTTACCCTGTTGATTCTGTCCAGACTGAGACATAAGAGAACAAATCCCTGATCCTACCGTGTGAGATTATTGTAAAAAACAGAATCATCAAGTCACAAAAAAGGTCTAAAGTTTACATTTCTTCTCAAATTAAAGCCTTACTTGAACCTGTGTTTTGCTCACTGAGCATACCAGTTTCTGCCAATAGATGTTACACATTGAACCTTTAACCAAACTATATAAAATTCAAAATTCTTCAGCTTTTTCACCATCTGGACCTGTAGATTTCCCACATTAACCACATTTAAAGTTGACAAAATCTTCGTATTAGTGACACTGTTTCTAAAAAAATTGCAAAGTATAAATAAATATAAGACATCCAAGACGACAACAAAATGTCCTTTTCCTATTTTTAACATCTGCTATCAGTCACCATTTAAAGGTACATTGTGTAGGAATTTCTCCCATCTAGCGGTGAAATTGTATTTTGCATTCAAACGAATAGTGCTCTCTAGCGCCTCGCGTTTTCAAATGTGTATTGCAACTACGGT